CTAAATTTCCCTTCTTTAGCAACATCTAGGTGCAGCTCTTTCTCTTAAACCACCACAAACCAATTGCATGAATACAGGTCAGAACTGGGGAACTGAAACAATAACCTGAAGAAATCACACTCTCACACATTTCTGCAAAGCACAGCAGGTAGGACAATACAGTGCATTGTGACAGACAGAGCAGCCTCAGCATTAGGGCCATAGCAGTCACTGTAACACTGCATTAGAATACCCAGGGATCGTTCCCCAGTGGCAGGAAACTGCTAACCTGCAACAGCTTGAACTGTCAGTGTCTGGGAGTAGGAATTTTGGTAGCCTCTGCCTTGGAGTATGTTACGGTGAGGGTGGCCACGACACTCCTTACAACTTTAGGGTCCCCTGATGCCAGGGCAACAGGAGCGGCTTCGATGGAGTATCCTGAAAACAAAAGAACTTTAATAGGAAAATAAAGTAGGGACGAGGCCCATAAACTGTACTCAGTCTAGGGACAAACTCCAAAGACAAGGCATAGGGGGTGGACACAGCAATATATAGGGTAGGTCTGAGGGTAGAGTCTGAGGGCATGGGTCCAATCACAAACTGGAGTTAGAAATATGCAAAACACTGCAACGAATAACAAACAGTCAGGGGAGAGAGCTGGGAACATTCTAGAAGCACAACCTTGTACAGGGTGACTTAATTAACATATTAACTGCCATAAACCCTTAAACAAGTGCTTCCCAAGACTTGAACTTAAAGCCTGGTGCTTCAGGGATGAAGTCTTTCTGGCCCTGCATCCCAGCAGGGCTGAGTCCCACAGGAGTGATCCCATCCTCACAGCAAGGTTTACTCACCAAGTAGTGAGTAAACACTACAGCAGAGCAGCAGTAAAGCTGGCCTGTGCTGCTTACTGCAAAGGTTATGGCAACTATGGTATCAAACCAGAGACTTATATCAAAGGAGAAAAACACCTCTTGTTAGGAGTCTATGTATTTATAATCTGAAAATAGAAATAGAAGACTGGAATCACACCCATAATGATAAATCTCACAGTTTCCCAGAACCTGGAAGAATGAGAATATCTAAGCACATCCAGGCAGGACTTCTGAGGGTGGACTCAGCAGTCCTCTGTCAACATAACTGCCGCAGAATAAGGAATTTCTGTCTTTGAATTCAGATGTCTCTGAAGGACTACATGGATACCAAAAACAAATGAAAAACAAGGTGGATAGCACTAACAGTGCCACTAGAGAAGAAGAAGCTGAAGTAATTGAGTCCCATGAGCTTGTGTAAGCAGTAAAATAGAAATTGGCTTGGTTTCTCCAAGTGACCAGAACAATGGAACTAGCAAACACAATTCTGTGGGGGAAATTGGAGAGGAAAGGAAGGCAGAATGCTCAGGGACAGTGTAACTCAAAGACATCTGGATCTGGATGGTGAAATGATGGGGATATCCAAAGAGTAAAGGGAACATGAATACAGATTCTAGTCAGTGCCTAAAGATGACACTCTTCAGAGCATGTTTGAAAGGGGAAGATGAGACAATCATAAATATATATAAGTTCATAACCTGGCCATGTTCTGCTCTGAGTTGCCAGAGGATATAAAACCAGAGTACAGTCAACAATGAACCACTAATTCATGTTGCTAATGCTTCTGTCACCCATAAGAAAAATCCAGTTAATTCTTATCTCTTTGTTTCAGACTACTCAAAATTTCTCACTGATCTACACATTTCCCCATTTATTTCCTGAAGGTGACATTTTTCAATGGGCTTCTAAATATCAGGTAAAATTCAATATGCTGTGGCAATATCTTTGGCTCACATAACCCAGCCTATTTTTTCTCTTGCTTTTGATCATATTCTTGACATACTGGCACTGTTGTGGTGAGATGTAGATATTTCCTTGCTCTTCAGGTGCCCTGTATCTGGTTTTACAAGCCCAAGAAAAGTGATTTTTTTTCTCTGTACTTTTCATCAGGATTACAGCAGTCTGGCTGGTGTCTGCTTGAAGATTCTGCAAAAGTCATGAGTTCCTATAAATGGCAGCATCACGATTCCTCCCTAAGCAGCAGTTCTCATGTCAATGAAATGTCCCCAGCTACCCACAACACACCCACAGCCAGAGAAAATCACCTCTTCCTCTTCCTGATTGTCTTCTCAGAGAAGGGTACCTTGAAGGCAGCAATGGCTCTGGGGGAGAGAAATATTGTCCCCAACAGTCAGCAGAGCCCTTTGAGCTGTACAAAATTGCTGTGTCTTTCCAAGAACTAGAAACATGCAGCAGGGTGCACATAATGGTCTCCACAGGTGAATGACAACCATTCCTACAAAAGAAGTTCCTGTATTGAACTATCATCTGCCATCCAAAAGAAAAGCACTACTTATCAGTGATGTCTGCTGGTGTCAGCAGGTGTCTAGAAAAAAAACAGGTTAAGAGACAAGTATTCAATTTTCTCCCAAGGAAGATGTTCCCCACAGGAGCTTGCAAGGCTTCCCCCACGGGTGCTGCGCTGGGAGTAGATCCAAGTAGCCATGGCAACCCTATGCAGACTGCTTGACATGGCCAATGTTCAGAATAAATTTTGGGCTGAGTATTGGTCCTGATGGTGTTAGTACCTCGACTAATGACACATCTAAAGCACTATCCTTACTATTCTTCCATCTGTTCTTACTTGTTTGCAGGGTGCCCAAAAATGTCCCAGGAGAGCTGTGGGTCTCTGTATGATGAATTCTAGCCTGCTGAGAAATATGCTTGGTTTTGTTACCTCCTATGACCTCCCAGAGCAGGGACAGTCCTATTTATACATACCACCTGCTGCAAACTTCTATCCTTGAGCTTCAGCTGCTTTTTGTACCTAGTCTTCCTTAGCTGTAGAATTCCTGGTGATTTGTGGTGTTTCATGCAATTTAACTATGTATGTGAGGAGAAAGAGCTATGCGGTGGCAAGGCACTTATATATGGAAACTCCTGACACAGAGCCACTCAGACTAATATTTTTTTGTCTAACATTCAAGCTCCCAAGTGGCAGAGCTTCCTGGCACAGAAACAATCAATAATCCCAGTCCAAGCAATTTGCTCATATATGTGATCATGTACAGGTACAGCCTGGTCTCTTACGTATACCTGCTACTCAGAATGCCAAAGTGAACATGTGGTTCTTGACAGAAAAAAGACCAAACCCTTAGAACCATCATCTGTACAAAGGGCTACATTTAATAGCTGGAGATTCTAGTGAATTCAGACTCTTGGGTTTTGGTTCATTCTCCAGAACAGGACCGGGTTTTGTCTTTATTTTTGTTTTCTGTGTCAGAACTGCAAAGCAGATGAGTTTCAAACTACAGAGATTGTTCATGATATATTTTTAATGAAAATCCCTGACTGAAATATGATTCTTATTATGGAAAAAGAAAAAACTTGCCAAACATGATTTTTCCAGTTCTGAGAGAAATGTGAGGGAAAGGGATTGTTTTGCTTGAAGTATGTTTTAAATTCCACATTGCAGTCTAGTATGGGTGCATACACTGAGGTTAAACTGTTCATGCTGATCCAACATAAACTGATGCTAGGAATGACTGTTGAGAATTACATGGCCTTCGTCTCCATAAAAAATGCCTACATTGGAGTATTCAGCCCAAAATAGCAACCTGCTGTGCCTGGGCTAGAACAAAGGGAGAAGTAAAAGGAGGAAATGCCTGGTTTGGGGAATGAGAGATGAACCTGAGACAATCTTGAGCATTTCCTTGTAGGGGGATTATCTGCTGGCTGGAAAACAAGAGCCAGGGCACAGAGGTGAGGGAGAGGAGAGCCAGGCAGATGTCTCCTTCCTGCAGGAGCTGGAGGCCCTTCTTTGCAGGAGACCAACCACCAGGCAGGCATGTCAAGGGGCTGGAGAAGGCTCACAGGGCTGTTAGTCATGGCTGACTGAGGAAGCTGAATCACATTAGCTGAGCTTTGTGTCCACAGCTCTGACCTGTGGCCTAGAACAGTGTGAAGGAAGATGCTGTGCATCTGTGGGCAGTGCAATGGGGGTGGGAGCTGGTGCTGCTCCCCAAGGACTCCTGGCATGCTTCTGTGGCAGCTCTGGGATGCAGCTTTGGGATGGTTCTTCATCACCAGTAAGTGGGCATTTCTGACAATTCACTGCAGATTTCCTTATCTTTGTCAATGTCTGTTGTGGGGGTGTGTTGTGCACAAACAGGCATAGAGTTTGTGAGATTATAAAGCGGAAGTAAAGATGGACACATCTCTCCTGCAGGTCCAGGTCTTTCTCTCTGCCTTGGGTTATCAGTCAGTGAAACTTTCTCCACCAGCCATTGATTTTTTTCTAGTTTTAAAGCCAAAAGTTTTATAGTGTATAGTATAGTCTATGTGAGATTTGGGCTATATAGTGCCCAAATGGATATCACTATAAAGAAGGTAATCTTGAAGAGCTCTACAATATGGTGGATTGTATTTTGCCACTTAAAGGAAAGTGCAGTCACTGAATAGCACCATGGGAGGGAGTAGATGGAAGAGGTACAAATAGGCTGTGCTCACACTGCCTATGTGACCCAGGTCAGAGCCCACACACACAGTAATGAAACAGTAATTTCTATTTTTTTTTTTCCTTCAAAGCACTTTGTCCATCCAGACCAAACCAGATTCCAGTATGGAGAGCCACAAGCTCAGCCCTTTATGTATTGCAGCTATGCACATCCTTAGAGACAGATGAGTTTGTAATGATTGCTTTGAAAGTGACCTGGGAGGTTTTTTTCTTCCCATTGTTTCTGTTAGTGTCACAACACTTGGATGCCTTGAGCTAACTTTTCAGAAAGCCAGGCTGAGATATTTCTTCTCTAGTGTTCTCCCTGAAAAATCTTGTTGCATTTGGCCACCTGAAGCCAGTTCTTTACACTTCATCATATTAGTCCATGCAATTACTGGACAGTCACAGAACACAACATGTGTCAGCCAAACCTTCCTATGTTTTTTATCATATCAAAGAAAACAGCTGCTGTCTTTTCTGTTTTTCACCAGTCCTGTACCTGGAAGGATCTGTCCTTGTATTTGAGGATGTTTTCAAGCTGGTTGCCTTCTACTGTGTCAGCAGGTGAGTTGGATTCATCTCTTCCGCAGCACAGTCATTTTACCCTCCCCTCTGGTCTGCCCTTCCGCAGTCCCCAGTCCCAGCACAGACCCTTCTGTTTCCTCTGCTACACTCCAGCCTGCCAGACCAGAAGGTATTTCAGATGCTTCTATTTACGATAGGGCCAGATCACCCACAAGCACAGCTGCCCTTGCAGCTGGAACCTTTGTCCCTAGGGCTGCTTCCACAGAGTAGAGGCATGGAACTGAGGCTAGGAGGGCAGGGAGGAAGAAGGGCCCCGAGTTAACTACTTATTTAAAGCTTTAAGCATACACACACACACACACCTGGTGGCAACTTAGCAAACCTACTAATGGACTGTTGCCTGTTGGCAGCTCAAAGCACTTAGTCACCTATAGGGAATCTGTCAAGGAAAGTAGTCCTGAAACAATGTATGTTCCTTAGCTAAAATTTAAAATTAAAACAAAGTGTTTGTTTGCTCAGCACAGAAATACCAAGCATAATGGGGACAGAGATGGGAAAAACCTGTAATGTCATTTTCAGCAGTGCAAGGTTTGATCGACAGCTGATGAGCCCCTCTGTGTAATTAAACCCATATGCCTGCAGCCTGCTCTAATCTGTGTCCCGGTGCTTAGCATACTGCAGTAATACCTCCACCTACTTACCCCATCCCTGCTGCAGCAGGCCTGGTTGTAGTGAGTTGGTTGTAGACTTTTGACTTCCTCTATATAAACTTACATGACTCTTAAAGTAGTTATTTCCTTTTAAGAGGAGAAAGCAGATTCAGGATATGTTTACAAGGCAGTCACATTAGTCACTTGGTTAGGTCAAACAGTAGGAACAGTCTGTCTTGGGTAGGATACAGTGTGGATACAGTAGGATACAGCTTATCCAGCCAGTCCCCCACTATTCTGAGGGCTGATCCTGCAGCCAGCCAAGTTCAACAGTACTGAGCCACAACTCTTACCTGCACACAAGAAACCATGCCCACCCTCACCCCCATCAGTTAATAGACATTTAGCCATCTAGATGTGTGTAGACCCTATAGAATGGACAGAAGTTAACCCCTGGATCATTATAAAGATGTCTTTCTCACCAAAGCAAAGAACAGCCCAAGTGCAAAATAGAATTGGTCATTTCTAGTAAGTGGCTGGTGACAGAGAAAATACGCTTACTTCTGCTTTCCTGCAAAAAAGATCATGGCTTGAGAAAGAGTCTCAGAAAGAAATAAAGAAAGAAAAGTTCTCCTATTAGCTCCTGTTATAGATGTTATTTTTGGGTGTCAAATATACATTCAGATGGTTCATGTGGTTTTCCAGGCTACTGTCAAAAGACAAGACAAAAAGGGAATAATTTGCTGAGAGAAGCAGGTAATAAAAAGACACTGACCTACCATTTGCTGGCATCTCATAGGAGCTCTCCATGATGGTAAATGTAGAGGCCTGAGAACAGGGATGTAGTAAATTGTCTATGAATAGCTGGAAACAGCTTTTCAGGGCTGATAGGCTCTTCTCAAAAAAAAAAATTTGGCCTGGATATATTACCTACCTACAGGTGACTTGGTGGCTGGTCTGCAAGCTGCTGACCTATCAGCAATGAAGAGTGCCCCATTAATAAAGCCAGAGGTTTTTTCTATTAGGGCAATGTCCTAATATTTCTGGATCTTAATATGTTTCATTTTTTAAAAAAGATAAAAAGGAAAAAGAAGAAAACTATTCATGCATATAAAATAATAAAGAAAGCAGAAAGTATATGGACCCTCTTCCTCTTTTAAACCTCATCACTGCAATGAAAAATTAATAAGCCATGTATCACATCAGTTTATGTCAGTGTGACAACAGAGTGCTCAGTGCACAGAAAACCCATGGAGAACACAAAACATCAGTAAAGTTTGTATCTGTTAAAAAGGTCAGAAATAAAGACATGCATCTCCTGCATTCATCTGTCAACAGATAGGTCTGCAGTCGTGCTTTTTTGGGTTGTGCATTTGTGTAGCAGAGACCTCCTACACACAAGGCCAGTTTCTTCTATAACAATTCCTTGTATCATGTAGAACATTTTGTAAAACTTTTTATGCATAAATTGATCCTGCATCATTCCTTGTTATCATTGAGGGACTGGCTTTTCTAGTCCTTGTTAGAATGGGAATTGAGGCAGGAACAGGATTAGCAAATTGTCACCAGGCAGGTGGCAAATCTAAACAGTTCACTGGCAGACCAAGTGCTCTTTTAAATGGCTTGAGACTTAGGGTGTGTTTCAGTGAAACCCAGCCAACATCCTCTGAGAAATTATCTTTTTTCTTCTGTAGAAATACAGCAACTTTCCAGAAACCATGTACTCAGAAGTCTGAGAGTGGAGAATTAGAGGGATATGTGTTTTCTCAGTGTCATGCAGCATTTCCTCATTGTCTGTGCCTTCACCCAGGGGTTACCCTTCCTCAGAGTCTTCCTCCCCCCAATCCCTCTGTGCCTTGCTGTTTACCCATGCCTTACACTTATAGAGATTTTTAAAAGAGGAAGCAAAGTAGTGAGAGAGTGGTAAACAGAAAGAAAAAGGACTTCAAATTCTTTCCACGAGAAAAAGATTGGCTTTTCTAATTAAAATAATGACAATTTGCAGCTCCTCACTTTTAATGGGAAAGTATTTGTGGCCTCCCCTGAGGTGAGAGGCATTCCTGCTGTTTTCAGAGGACAGAGCCAAGACACAGTAATTAAGTCAGTGCTATGGAATGAAGCAACACCACAGAAGCTGATGATCTTTCATGAAATCAGAGCAACCCAGGCTGGCACAATGTCCGTAATTCCTTACCAGCCATGACTTCGCAGAACACAGTTGTAATTATGAGCCAATCCAATCACTAAAACCAAGTATGGAGTGCCTAGCAATTGTGGGTTTATCATTTTGCTGTTTTTTCATTGTGTTTGTTTCTACAGGGATTTATTGCCCTTTACCCTGAAGCTGCCACAAGCAATATTAGAAGCCAGGAGCTTTCAAGACCTTGAAATTATCTCTAGTCTGGGGATAGGTAAGTCCCTCAAAGCAGCCAGATTTTCACTTGGACTTGTGAGAACAATGGTGCCTTGCACAGACATAATGCAACTGGGAGCTAGATACACTATTGTCTTTGGAATAGCTAAAGAGGTCTGAATGCAAGAGGAAGATGTTTATGATCTTTATGTTCATAGCAGGATGCTGACAAAAAGGGCACTTGCCCCTTTGGCCATAAACCTCCACCTGGATCTCTGTCCAGGGTGTGGTATCTACAGTCTGGGTGAGCTGCAGCTTTCACCAGCTAAAGTGCAGCATGGCCTCTCAGGATAATTTATACACATTGAAAGTAGCTGGTATCTGAGCTATATGGAAAACACCTTTGCAACTTCTCCTTCTGATGTGTGGGGGCAATGCTGATGAAAGTGTGATATTTTTGAATTTTGATATTTCTGCTTCCTCCTGCAGGATTTCTAGTTGGTAGAGAAATATGTATCGTCCCAACATGTTCTCTCACCTCACACTAATCACATGTGAAAAAGAACATTATTTTTAGTGACACTACCAAACAAGCAAATTTTAGATGAGATGTATAAAGTTACAGATAGGAGAAGCAGTTCTGTTAACTAAAGGAGGTCTTCTTTCTATTCCTTTTAATTTAACACACTCCACTTGAGACAGCTACTTCAGTTAGCCACTTTCATGCTCCTTGGTTTTTCAGTTTTTCTTCAGGTGTTGAAAACAGCCAATGGAGAAAATTGAAGAGTTAGCCTGTTTAGAGATAGTTATTAGAGCACTCTCACTATTTTTGGATCTTCTACATCAATCCTCCCAGGAAGCATGGGCAAACCCCACTGGTTTCAGTTCAGGAAGCTTTGCTGAATTTTGCCGACAGATTTGCTTCTAACACTGTCAGCATCCTCTATTTTGAGTATGTTGCAATTTGTCAAAGTATCCTTTTATATGAATGTCCAGCCAGCACTTATTGCTGATAAAAAGGCACTTTACAACTTGAGATAACAAGTTGCAAACTTAATTTTTTATAACAAGTCTAAAAATTTGGATTAAAATGTAGGAAGTGTATCATGAATCTGCAACCTTAGTCTAATTTGAGCCAGCAGAGACAACAGTTTCCAGCAACTTCTGAAGGAAAAGTTTAGTTAAAGTACAAGCACCAAAGCAATATTGGTTGTAGTCTTTTTCCTTCCCTCCTGTACTGGTGGTCATAAAAGTAGTGAGGCTTGGAAATTTATTTCTATTTCATACCAGGCAAGTTTCTGGCAAGAGAAAAAAAGCCTGCTGCTGTGTGCAGTCTTCCTGGGAAATGATGCTAGCTTCCTGAAGTGCCATGCTGTCTTAGTAGAGTTGAACAGGCTCAGCTACTGACAGATGCTGTTTATTGCTTCCTGGAACAAAATTTTGTGAATATAAATGGGTACACAATCAATTAAGTGCTGCCCAAAGTGGCACTTCCAAAGGAAACAAAGCATTGTCTGAAATTCTCATATGTTCCTTTGTATTTATTTCAAAGTAAATCATGTTTCAAGGGGATAGAAGTAAGATGTCTTTCTGCAAGCTGAATTGCTCCACAAAGGATCTGGCTGCTCTGTATGTTGTCACAGAGGACATACTGCAGGCCCTCTAGTCCTGACCTCACTGGTACAGAAGTTATTTTAGCAGGAGAATTAGCATGATTGCACTGCACAAAGAGTACATACCATTACAGACATGCCAAAGACTCCAAGAACTGCTTAATTATCCCTCCCAGAGTGCAAGATAAGGGAAGATGCAGGACAGCAAAGGGAGATGATCAAATGGCCTTCTCTGCAGTGTGGTACAGTGTAGATGTGCTGGGAAATACCTGCTCTGAAGCAGCTGCGTTACTTGGTAGAGCCACATCATCTGTTCCTTCCTAGTCTGAGTGGTGCTTTGGTGATTTTCATCACAGTGCCTTATCTGACCACTACTGAGAAAAATTACCAACTTCCTGACTGTAGATTGGTTTACTCACCATTTCCCATAAGGACCATGAGGCTTCACAGCATTATATTCTGACTTAAAACAACCTCCTCTGTCCTGAATTTGCTGGTACCAAGTAGAGCTGGAGAGCTTAAGGAAAATGGTACCCCAGCCAGTCTCAGATGTGAGGGGCTTGGCAGCATGGTGTTAGTATGTGCAGTTGCATCTGCATGCCTACTCCCAAATTCTGTTGTTGAGTGCTGCTGTTCCTAGCAACATTATTATTTTAAGCTTCTTTGTTCTCCTCTCTCACAGTAAGAAATCAGAGAATAAAGCTGTTCTAATGTCAGTCACCCTAAGATAATATGCTGACATTCTTATAAAGCTGAATTTGTCATGGACACAAACCTTGGCTGTGAGAAGCCAAATAGGCAATTTTATCATGATGGGAATAGACTGTCTTTTAGCTCACCTCTTGACCTGAGAGCTGCTCAGCACTGATGCATGCTCAGCACTGAGGGCCATCCCATACGTGTGCAGCCCCATCTATCCTCTCTCAGGCCCAGCATGTCATGTTTTGGCAGGGTGACACTCCTGACACCAAGCACAGGGCAGGGTTCTGGCATTGTGTGGCAGCCCCATTGTGTCCTCTGAAATCCACATAGAAACGTGTGCCATCAGTGTCAGCTCTGTGTTTAGGGACCAAGCATGCTGACATAGTTATTTAGTTACCTGCATCCTTGTGTTTCCAGGATTTCCCATCTTCCCCTTATCCCTAAATCTGTGGGAATCTATACAGTTCTCATCCAGTGAATACCTTCAGAGGTTTATAACCTTTTCCTTGGACAGATCATATGAGGTTTGCTGGATCCCATTTCCTGATGCTTCCAGTAGTGGACCCTGCATCGGCAGCTTTAATATTGATTAAAAGCAATCAGATTTGTAAGGCAGGTTTGAAACCTCACCTTCAGGGAAAAGAACAAAAGCTGCATGTGATACTGAATCTATTAAAAAAGATACCAATGCTTTGCATTTTTTTTAAAGAGTTATTAATAAGACAAATCATAATAAGAGATTTCTGACAGAAATTTCTACTTGCATGTGAAACACCATCTTTCTTTTTCAGTCATAATTGAAGGCACTGAAGTAGTTAACTATTCCTTAGTCCTTCATTATACATCCTTCCTGTGTACAGCCTTTTGCATCATCTTTTCTCTTTGACACCTGCACGCAGATAGTCTCAAGGCAAGGTGCAAGGCAGAGTGGCCATGGCTATAGATAACAGTCACCCAGAACTGTAGACTTTAATGGTAATACTAATCTGGAGAAGGTGTTTAAAATCATATGTTTCCAGACTGATTATACTGCCAGGCAGCATCAGACCTCTATGCAGAACAGACTGCCACATGAGTTTGCTGCATAGTAGAGTCATCTTCAGATGTTGTCTCCTGGTGCATGTTGGATCTTGGCTATCTATCTCAGACCTGCACCTTACTGTTGTGAACAAGAGGCAGATGCAACTTGCCTGGGGTCTTCACATCCTCTCCTCAGGTATCCACAGCTATTTGCATTTGGAGGGCAGTGATCACTGAACAAGCACAGATCCCTTTTCACAATCATTCATATTTGTTATTGTATCTTCCTGCTAATACTGAAAATGCTGAAGAGCATTAACATCTTTCATTAGGTAAGTGTCCTAAAAATGATAGGGGAGAGAATTCTGCTGAAGCTTCTGAGCTTATCCCCTGGCTTGAAGAATTTCACATACATAAACAGGCAACTCTTTCTTCACACTGTTTTGTGCAGAGGTTTGAAAGTTTAACATTGAAACTTGTGTACCATTTCTTTTAACAATAAGTAGGTTTTCTACATATCATTTGCAGCTAAAATTCTCTCAGATTTTTTTTTCAATTTTCATTTTTTCTTTTCTTTTGTGGTTTATTTTTGTGGTTTTTTTTTTTTTACAGATTTTTGGGATTCCTACTTAAACCACAGAAGACAGGACTTATCCCACCCTGCAAAAGACCCTCCTTTCAGCACTGCCCAGGCAGACCATTTAAGATCTACCCAGTGTTTTGCAAGTAGCACAAACCACTGCTCATGTGAAATTGAGCTGTCAATAGGAAATGACAGGCTGTGGTTTGTGAATCCTATTTTTATAGAAGAGTGCAATAATCCCTGTCCTCCAGATGTACCTTCTCCTAAAGGCCACTCTGGGAGCATTGATGTCCCCCTTGCCACCATGCTTACTGAGAGGAGGTCTCCCCGACGGCCTCCTCCCCCTCCACCTTCTCAAGCTCTCATTCAGAAATCTTCTCTGAAGTTCCCACAGGACCCCATGACTGCCTGTGAAGAAAACAAGCTACTTATTAAGCCACTGGGAAAGAGCATTGAGGAAATGAAAATTGAGGGCAGTGATGATAAAGAAGAAAGGAAGCAGAGCTGCTTGGCCAATGAGCCCCTGGCAGTGTGCCCCAAGAAGGGCTCTCAGCCCTCTGTTCCCCCGCGGAGGCGGCTGAGTGAGAGGACCTCAGAGGAGAGCTGTGCGCGTAATCCTGAAAGTTGTGAATTGCTGAAAGGGGAAGGGACAGAAGAAAACCAAGATGCAAGTGCAGGGAGCAGAGATAAAACATTGCTGTGCAAAAAGGCTGTAGAAATGCCTGGGGAGGTTTCCAAAAGGGCTGTATCGCAGTTTCAGGAGACAAAGTCTGAACCTGCAGAGAAGAAGGAGGACATGCCTAAGATACAAAGCAGTACCACTGAGAAAGGAAAGTCACCTCCTATCCCACCACCAAGAAGGAAGAGGGTTGCCCACGTACCAAGGATCCCCAGCTCCTGCCAGCCAAAGCAAAGAACAGTGGGAGAGATAGCCGTGGCTACGGGGCAGGCTGTGTGCAAGGGCAGCCCAGCTACAGTGACGGGTGGTGCCACTTGCACACACACCAAGACTGAACCAGGACATGGCCACAAATCTGTCAGCTCAGCTGAGCTGGAAGGTTCACGCTTGTCCCTGGAGGACCTGGGAGGCAGTGCCATGGCTCAGGCATCAACATCTGAGCCAGACTCCTACTCCACCAGCAGCACAGAGGATGACCTGGAGATACTGAGTAGTTCATCTGGCAAAAAGACACGCTCCGTGATCTTGGCCAAGGCAAAAAACAGGCTGTCCTTGGTGAACCTGTCCAATGTCTTCACGGTCTTTTTGTCTAGTGACAGAAAGCTGCAGAAGAAGATAGTGGAGCTTGCACAGGACAAGGACTCATACTTTGGCAACCTGGTGCGGGACTACAGAGTGTACAGTTTGGAGATGATGGCAAAGCAGAGCTCCAGCACAGAGATGCTACAAGAGATCCGGCTGATGATGACACAGCTGAAGAGTTACTTAGTGCAGAGCACCGAGTTGAAATCTCTGATAGATCCAGCCTCCTACACCGAGGAACAGTTAGGTAGGTAACTGTGGTTTATTCATCCCTGGGCATGGTTTGGGAAGGTGAGGAGGGAGACAGAATTATGCAGACACAGGCTCTGCTTTACAGAATTATAAACCATCTCCTAAAACCTAAGCAGCATGATTTGAAGTCTGCTCTGTGGTTGCCAACACTTGGAGGAACAACTCTAAAACCTGGAGGCCAATGAGGGGAAAAATCCCTTAATGAATGTTTTAAAGGGACTAGCTTAAGCAGAAGAGATGTGTGTTTGTGTGTATGAGAGACATACATGTATGTGTATATATATGTGTGTGTGTGTGTGTGTTTATATATACACATAAGTTTGCACACACAGAGCTGAATTCATTGGAAACATAAAAGGTAAATTTTCCCCTTCACAGCTGCATTCCCATGGCCTTCCACATCTGCTGCTCTGCTACAAGGATGGAGAACTCCCTGCACATGGCATACAGTTTAGAGGCCAATCACTCTTTCACAGGAAGGGACAAGACTATGATGATTTTGAGTGGCAGGTTGGAGGAATGACTTGATTCTGTTTTGTGCTTCTCAGAGCTCAGAGGTACAGAAGAGCTATCTGTTGCAAGACTACTGCTAGCTCCAAAATTAGGTGTTCACCTCTTTGCCATAGATATAATTTGCCTTTGGGGGGCAAAAATATTATTTTTAACTGTTTACAGGTGTTTCATTGCTTCTCATTCATATCATATGAGGGAATAATGTGCTACTTCTCTACTTGCTAAGGACTGGACTGGTCTGTTTAATGCACATCCATGAGGGAATATAAAAAGAGCTGCAGGATTTTTTATCCCAGTGAAAGCTGTACAGCCAGAAAAAGCATGCATGCACACACACACATGCTCCTTTGAAAGATTAAAACTGTTTTTTGAGGACCTGAGAACCAATGCAGAGCTATTTGTAGGTCCTTAAGTCGGCTTAAAACAAGCTGGGAGCTGGAAGACTCAGAATGTGGAGTGAACCACAGGAGTGGCCAGGGATTCTAGGAGATCCTGCAGCTCCAGTATTAGGTGGGACTCAGCTAAGTGGTGAACCAGGACTAAAAGTCCACTGTCAGTCTCAGCCGAGTCTGCTGATTTCCTTCTCTCCCAGTAAAGGGTTCACATGATCCTGCAGACCCCCAGCATAATAGACCTGCAGCCAGCCCCTGCCATAGCTAGGAAAGGGAGTCTGCAGTTTCACTTCTCATGCGCCTTGTGTAACCCCTTCAATCTTGGTCCTAATAACCTCTTTCTTCAAGGTACGGAGTGTGGGGGCAGCACAGAGAAGTCTGTTGAGAATCTTGATTAGTGAAAGTGAAAAGGAGGAAGAAAGATGTGTCCTTGTTGTGCTTGGTAGAGCTGCATGTGTGCAAGGATCCCACCACCTTCCCACGGACATGCCTGGTTCTAACCCTGTATCTAACCCTCTTCACTGAGGGTTCCTTAACAGGATGATCTGGGCCAGTCAACCTTGACAGGACTGTTTTCTGCAGAGGACAGGGATTCCCTGATTTACCACTTGAATTTCCCCTGCTTCAGGCTGATTGGTTCTCTGGATTCTTTAAAGTAGTTGCATTTTGAATACATAATTATTACTGCCCTCTGGTTCACTCCTCACTGCCAGAGCAGATGAACTCTTTTGCCAATGACCTTTCTGCCTCAGTGGAGCAAGAGGATCTCTTGCTGTTCCTCTAGTTCTCTAGATTTACCTCTGGTTTCTAGGAGTCAGATAACAGACTTCCTCACAGTCTCTCATGCTTCATCTTCAGCCAAATATTAAGCAACTGCTCAACCCACTCATACTAGTTCCTCCTCCATAGGTGGCATAAGAGGTGTCTTATAGGATCAGTAATTTAGAGTCCCTTGAGCAGTAATGATGAGAAACTTCTGACCAAATATTGGTGTTTGTCTCTGAGCTGGTGGCTGCAGCTGCTTTGAGGAAAGAAAGGGATGCTTTGAGGGTGAAATTAATTTTATTCCAAAGTGAGTATCTCAAACAAGTCACAAGGAGAGATCAGAAGGGACGTGAGATGAATAGCATCTGGGCATCTGCAAGGGCAAGGCTGTGAAAGATACCACAGTTAGGTGAGGTCCCTCTTCTCTCCCCAGAGTTGGCTTTCCTGCTGCCTGGCCAAGCCATGCTGGTCAGCCAGGAGTCAGGCAAAGAGAACAGGAGGTAGCAGGAGGTCTCCCTACAGCTCCAGTGACAGAGAGCACACACTGATATTCATCTCAAGGCCATCTAGGACTTCTGGAGAGTGTTGGTAATGAAATGTTTACTTTCTGGGATGTAGTTTTTGTTCCCTTCTCAAAGCTATATAGCAGTGCTTGAATAACCAACCACATGCTTCTTTAGGACTTTTACTTGCACTTTTATTATTGTATTGCCTATTTATTATGTGCTTTTCTGTTCTCCCTTCTCTATGCAGAAGTGATTGCGGAGACAGCTTTGTACAAGTGTGTCCTGAAACCTTTAAAGGAAGCCATTAATTCTTCCTTAAAAGAAATACACAACAAAGATGGAACTTTACAGCAGCTGAAAGAGAACCAGCTTGTGATACAAAACACAACTACCACTGACCTGGGCGTCACAACCAGTGTGCCTGAAACTGCTGTGCTGGAAAAGATCCTTCACAAGTTCACGACCATGCATAAGACCTACTCTCCAGAAAAGAAAATTGCCATCTTGCTGAAGACCTGCAAACTCATCTATGACTCCATGGCTCAGGGAAATCCAGGTACAGGACTCCTATTGCAATGGTATCCACCATGGGTCTTTCTCCATATATCAAAGGAATGGGGTTTATGATACAGCTGGCATGGCAATATACACATTGGAGGTAGCAATAATGGTTGATGTGTTTGGTATCAGGTGTCCACAGGTTGTGTTCAGAATGGAATGGTTGGTGAAGTTCTCTGCACTAATAAGTGGTACAAGATGTTACCTCGTTAACTTTAAGCTCCTAACTCCTAAACCTGTAAGTGTGTGTTTTATGGATAACGTCCTTTTTGCACATCTTCACACAGCTCTCCAAATATCCTCAGGGCTCTGTCCCAGCTTGTAGCAGAGTAACCGTAAATTCTAGGAATGGGTCTTTGGGAAAAGACTCTTGATTTGGTCTTTACAGAGTTTTGCCTAAACTGAGGAGGAGATGCAGAATGCTACTAGTTTGTTACTAATTCCTGATGCTCCAGTAAATTCTAAAAGCCACTTCTTCAGTGCGAGGCAGTATGTGCTCTGAGTATAAACACAACATGGGCCCCAGGCCAGCCACTAATGCAGAAATTAAACCCTTGGCCTGCAGACAGGATGCATCTTTGCAGATAGACCAGCAAGTCCCTTCCTCCAGCAATCTGCCTTGCTAGTTTAAGAGCTTTTTTTGTATACTGTGAGCTGATGATCAGCCATGCCTGAATTTGGAGAGAAGCCAGGTATTAATTTGCAATAACCTGCGGTTGTTCAAGAACTCACAGTCACCAAAGGTGCTTTTAGCTGTTCCGCTTTATTTTGTACTGGCAACAGCCTTGGAGCACTCATACGGGGATTGTTATGTCCCTGCTGAGCCTCACCTCTAGGTGATCTCTTGGATAGTAAGCAGCAAGGTTCAGCAACCAGTCTAGATAACATTAACAGCAGAGCAAGAAATGATCCCAGGGCTGAGCCTTAGCTGCAGGGTAGAAAGGACCTCTCACTGTCTTCAGCTGTTATGAGATTGGACATATGCAGGGAATTTGCTGTAACTTTGTTAAAACAGTTGTGTGAAGTTTGGGAATAAATTTGGTTTAGATCAAGGACTTACAAGTCTCACGAAAACCCACATTGTCTCCTTCTGAAGCTGGTGGTATGTTTGTACACATCACATCTTAGTTAGTTCAGGGCTGAAATTACTGTTGTAATGTTATTTTATGTAACAGAAATTAGGAGTCAGGGAAATAATTCAAAATGCTTAGAATATTGACATTCATGAAATCTGATGGTTTCATTGTGGTTTGCTACACTAACCAAAGCACTGCATTTCAGCCAGCTCAGCTGTTTTCTCATCCTGAGCACTACTGCCAGCAGGGTGTAGGTTGGAAGCTGATTTCACCCCTGGGCATCCAGTTCTCTCCCAGTTTCCTCTGCCTTATACATGATCAGTGATGCATATCAAGGCTTGGCCAGAAGAAAACTGGCCTGGAATTATGGAAATGTACCCCAATGAATTCAGACCTGAAAAACAGGCTAAGGGGAGAAGAATGCTGGAAACTAACTTGGAAAACAGCAGACTTGGAGAGAAATTGAGTGACATTCCCTGTAGACCCACTTAGAAGCTAAATGTGTGGAAGCTCTTCCTGAGAATGAGCTGAACCCAGATCACTTTCATTTTCCATTGGCAAAGACAAGTTGTCATCAACCTGAAATATTTTTCTGACATGGAATTTCAGCTGGTGGCATGCAGAAGAGCATGCTGTGGGCTGCCCAGAGCAGCTTTCAGCAGATGGGAATTCTTCTGCTCTCTGCCCATCTCAAGAGCAATAGCACAGGGCCACCCTTTTGCTCTCAGCCAGCCATGAGGCAGCACAGTGCTCTTCGCACAGGAAGAGCAGAGGCCATGCTCAGCTTCCTGTGCAATAGCTTCTTCTCCTTTTCACTCCTTTTCCTCACTGCTCAGTTAGAAAGTTCCCTCCTCTTCCAAAATCAGAGCGGTGAAACACTAATCATTCGCTCTGCTACAGGATCAAAATCAGTCTACCTCTGCCAGAAACATTACCTGTTCTATAACATGGAAACTACTTGTATTATCTGGCTTAATTTGCAATCTGTCAGCTCAGGCCAGGTCTTAATTCAATATAGGTTGGCCATAGGATGAGCCGACCCGAAAATATGGTTTCATTTCTCAGAGCAAAATGCAAACACCACCTAACCAAGCATCTTTTCTTTTCAGATACATATGAAAATACAAGTTTTCTAACATTTTGAGACCCATGTACAGCAGTCCAGGTTTGGCCAGGATGTCCCAAGAGGTACCAAGTTTCCTTTAAAACCAAGGACAGGCTTACTCAGGAACATCTGTACTTGTGGTTGTGCCCATCTTTGCCTTGCTGAAAGAGTAATGAAACTTTGAAGTCTGCCTTGACTGACTCCATCTATATCAAGCCATTTTAAGAAAGGAGGAGATCTTTGGTTTGATTGCAATTCATATTACATGACAAAATCTGCCTGATAAATTTGCTGTAGTTGAAATCCCTAATACTTAAGACTAAGAACTGAATGGGCCAGATCCTAAACTAGTTTAAACTAGCATTTCTTCCTCCAGCTTGTGGAAGCAATTCATCACAAGGAATTAGTGAGGCAAGTTCACAGTCTTTGTCATACACCTTTCTCTCAAGAGACCACTGAGCACAGCTCCATGAGAGAGTTGAAGTAGGACTAATCTCTGGCTACATCTCTCCATCTCACAGAGGGGTATCATGCCCAGATTCCCATCACACACACTGTGCAGTCAGTCCATGGAGTCCAGATGATTTGTCTGGCTACATATAGATTTCTGCTTTAGAGCGAGATGACTCAAGGCAAACTCCAGTGACAATATTGATTAATTCATTACTGGCTATAAAAGAAATTAAGGGGCCCTGGTTCAGATGCTCATTTGTATTATGTAGGCAGTGATATTAGTAACATAATAAAGGCACAATTATGATAGTATTGAGGTGTCTCACTGAGCTTTTCCAAGCTCTATGCAAACTTAAATAACTGAAACATATGTCTCCAAGAATAAAACCGACAATCCGAAAATATATAACCTGCCTGCTAAAAATACTAGGAACGGTTAGTAAGAATAAAATGAATTTTAAAAAATAGAGTTTGAAAATCCATGTCCCACAAAATGGCTGACATTTTTTTGGCATGCAGCTCTTACATTTGGAAGGCATGCTGCAACATGCACAGGGACAGCTGGGCACATCGCTGATTTATGTAGAAACATAGTAATGTTATATAGAAAAAAACCCTTATTATGTGTCTTTTGGAAATACCTTTACTCAGACAAAAGATTAAAGGTATATTGTGTGATATGAGTAGAATCAGAATCTCTGCTTTTCATCAAAAATGCAAGTGACACCTGTAGAGTGGGAAACAATGGAAATCTACCATACATGTGGTGTGTACTGGCAGTGGTGTGCCTGGGTCACCCACCTTGTGCTGTCTGGGAGCTGCCTCTGTGGAAGAGAACTGATGGAAAAACAAAGCAGCAACAGCATTGGTTTATGGAGACAAATTGTGAGACTAACAGGCCGAATTTCTCCACGAGTGAGGAAGATCAGGGATGGGAAATCTCTAAGTTTAGGTTGGAAGTCCCATCTTTCAATGGGAAGACTGTTTTCAAAGGAGATTCAAGAAGAACAGAGGTACAATTTTCTTACTGCAACATTTCTAACTTGTGACCTACCTAAGGTTATGAAGCCTCATTTTTGGACTATCTTTGAACTGCACGGGCAGCTGGACTATATAGTTCAAAACTATAGTTTGTACTAATTATGGAATTGGCTAGGCAAAACATCCAATTTAATAATTTCTATTGCATAATTTTACATGGATAATATGCATAGTCTGCTTTTAGAAAAAGAGGATAGATAGGACATATGTTCCATTGGAATATTTCTCTTCCTTACTTTTTCCTATGAGTTTTGTCACCCCTACAGAACTGAGCAGCCAGATATTAGCTGTCCTGATGCACTCCTATAAGGCTCTGCAGTGGGCAGAAAGCAAAGCTGTGTCTTCAGTGGGATAGCTGAGCTTGTCGAAAGGAAACTGGGCTCCAATACTTCAGCAGACTGTGAAGAGCTCATCCTAGAAGCTCCTTAAGCTGTCAGAGCAATCCCATTACACTGCTTATTATCATATCTAACTTCTGAGAAGGAAAATAAAGCTATACATAACAGGTTTACTTTGATATCTTTTGGAAGAGGATATTTGTATTTAAGTTACTTTTAATGAAGACTGATGGACTAGAGATTTGAGGTTTTCTGCCATCTAGCACAATTTCTACATTTGAATCAAAGAGCCAGTTCAAATTTTTCATGGGGAGCGAATTTCTCTGATCTCTAAACCATACATTTTTTAAGTGAATTCATGCTGTCTGCATCTATTAACTCACTTAATTCACTATATCACAAATTAAACCTTGCTGAAAGGTTTGTATGTATGGGATAGACAAGAGACAGCAAAATGGTAGTGTGTGGAAGGAAAGTCACAATCTTTTCTTTAGATCTTGAACAAATCCCAGTTAACCCTTCTGCACCTCAGGCTTCAGCTACAAACTGAGGCTAAAATTCATACTTTGTGGAGATTTGCTTTTAGACCTCAAGGTAGTGTTTGTAAAATATTAGAGCAAGATGCAGGGCATCACCCCTGTCTGCTGGTTTTCAGAATATACACAGAGAGAAAAGAAATGCACGAATGTGTTAAAATAGCCTGTAATTTCTTTATGGAGGCTTGGGCAGAATTCCAGTTGCTTTAAATCATGTATTTAATTAATAGTCATCTATTCAAGTGCTGCATCCCAGCCAGGAGCTGACGTTGTATTTGCTTTGCTATAAACATAATAGGATGAGTTTGAGGCAGAAGAGAAGGCTTATTTTAAGCTTCTTAGAGATATTTATGAAATAAATGTTTTCTGACCCCACAGGCAAGAAGGGGAAATCAAGCAAGTCATATCTGGAGCAGGATACCACCACCTTGAATAGGCAAATTCAGTCTCTGTCACTGAGAGCAGTGGCAGGGTCAGTGCTAGATTTAACTGTCAGCTGCAAAAATTCCCCTCTGTGAGAGACCACAGATGGAGCAAGCCACACAGAGGTCTAGGAATTTGGCTCAGGCCCAGCTTGAAAGTAGAGCTGAGGAGGCAGCAGGCTGCATAGAATACTCCTGCTGCAGCTCCCAGGTGGACACTGGTTAGTGCCCTGCTGCCTTTCATGGCAGAGGAAGAATGTGGTTAACACAGTGCTGAAGCAACCTCTCAGGTATCTTGGTTCATAGGCATTATTTAATCTCTTCGTAGACTCATGCTTCTCTTCATATTTGAGTGGCTGACAGCACCTATTATCCCCATGGATGGACTGAGACCACCTCAGAGCCATGGTTGGACTGACGAACTGTTGTCCATACATGTCAAAGCCATGTGCATCAAGCTCCTTTAGGGGCCAGGAGAACAGGGGAGAATCAGCTGACTTCAGCTTTTGCTAAGGATGTGGGTATTTAAAGTTGGGTGTCATATAGCCACAGGTGGATATAGGTGCTGCCTAGTAATTTACACAGGTTGTGACCATACAGCATATGGAACATGTGTTCTTTCTGTTATTTCAGTCAGCCATTCCTGCTCAGCATTTATTACTCAAAAAGAAACTGTAGATCAGATTTTCATATTTAAGGCAATAAACAGCTGTGAGTCCAATAATATTTCTATGAAGTCTTAAGGTTGAGAAGAGTTTATACCAAGGATGGGAGGGAAGAGCAGCTAAATCAGCTAACAGAAATGAGATAAACAGCATGAAAAAGAATTGTCTCCATACCCAATTGTATACACAACCACTTCTCAGACAACAAAGAAGGAACAGAGTCTGTAGTCATTCTTGAGAATTTTCCTCTAACTTTCATTTCTGTTGACACCAGAAGTTGATGAACGGGGACATGGAATTGCTTAGTTCCAAGCTGCTGCTTCCATTCTGCATTAGTTGGTCAGTCTGTTCTCTGTTCATGATATATTTTGGTGACATGTAAAAAACTACCAACCAACCAACCAACCACCCAGGATTTTTTACCAGTGAATAGGAATTTATATTGTGAAGTAGCAAATTTTTTGGATGCCCTATCAGACACAACATGAATTAGTCATGAATGAGAAATAGTAGGGGAAATTCTGCTCTTGGTGTTGCACTGGAAATCACTTGGCCTTGGAAACTAGAATCATTCTATCCATGCCACTGGTCAGTAACTACTAGATCACAAAGAAGAAGTTTTCAATCAAGGGAAAAATGAGCCTGACAAATCTTTGGTATTTTATATTCCTTCATACTAGTTTGAATTAGAACTAACTCAGTTGGCCTCTGGTGTACTTGGAGCAAAAGGAGAATAGGGCTTTTTGTTGTGAAGTTTTCCTGTTACATTTTCATGTCTCAGTTTCGTCTTCTTTTTTTTTTTTTTTTTTTTTTTTTTTTTATTCCTGGAAATTATTAAACAGCTGTAATACTAAGCTGCTTGTATTAAGGTAATGTATATGACAGTAATGAATTAGTCCCTTCACACAGCTAAAGCTTTCACAGAGACATAAGCCGAGGGAACGGGAACAGCAGACAAAAAAATTTCCATCCAGATGTTAATGGAACAATGAAGTCCATTTATAGTTTTGTTGAAGACCTTAGGCTATGTCTTTTAACTAAAGGCAGCCATAACAAAGCAATCAGAATTGAAAGTGTTAATCCAGCTTTCATTAAATTAATAGTCTATATTGTGGTGTGTGTGGGCTCTGTTAGAAACAGACTGAATTACAGCCCTGATGATTTCTCATTCTCTAACACTTTGTTTTAAATGGATCAACTCTCTGTTCACTAGATGTATTACTGGGTTTATTTCAAAGCCACAATTCTTTTTTTTTTAATCAGGGGCTAAGCTCATGTTTATTTGAGGCTTCAGAATATCTTTCTTTGCCAGTGGAGAATCTGCGTCAGCTATGAATGACAAAAAAAGAAATCTGACTCATGGCAAATATTTGAAATAAGTCAGTGGGAACATTTGAGAAATAGGAATGTATGCCCTACCATGGAAGAGCATGTGTGCTATGGGCCAAAAATGGCTAGAGCATAATTTCACCAAAACTACATCAAGCTTTGATTCCTTGAGGGGAGACAAGCAGTTCTCAAGTGAGACACACGTAGTCCATGAAACCAACATATCCAAGTGCACAGGTGAGAAAAAACTCCCCACAGTCTGAGGAAAGACATTCAGAATGAAAGCAGATTAGGTTAAGAGGAATGGTCAACTCTGAATGTTGGGAAGATAGGTCTGGTAAGGAATTTGCAATTGTGGGTTTTCCATGATGAATTTATGACATGTTGGTTGAAAGTGAAAGTATCTTTCAAATGAGAAAAGTTATTCTTGTGTTCTTTGTGGTTTATGCAGGGAAGCTTCAGTTTGGATTCTATTTTAAGTAGTAATTATTTATAATGATGACTGTTAGCATTCTTTTTTTGTCCTTAGAGATCCCAAAGAACTCATACAGGCTGTATATTAGATCACTTTGTTAACTTAGTTGATACGAATGTTTTAAGCACAGGAAATATTAAGCATCTGCTTCACACCAATTTCAAAAACTAGGTTTAAGTCCAATGTGAAAATCTTTCTATTTTCTTAGCTAGACAGAATAGTTAGAAAGATGATTCCTCATGGATCCCAGCTCTTGGGAGACTGTTTTAGTTAGCATCATGCTTTTGCCTTCTGAAGGGACGTAAACACAGAAGTCCTTAGTCCTAAAACCACTGTCTTATTTTATTTTCTGGTTTTTGGTGTCACACATAGAGTAAATCTAAGAGAAAAAATACCCCTTATGCACGTAGACAGCTTCCCTACTAATACTGCCAACCTGAACTGCAGTCTTGATATCAGTATCAAGTCAAATTTCTGTTTTCAGCATTTTTTCTTTGCTGGTGCTTTTGAGCTTTAACTCTTCAGATAACTTTAAAGTCTACAAAGGACTCGCTATTGTGTGGGAACATGAATTTGTGGTGCTATTGGGACCATGCTGTGTTTCTCTTTGCTCAGGAAAGCCCTATGGTGCAGATGACTTCCTCCCTGTGCTCATGTATGTGTTGGCCCGCAGCAACTTGACTGAAGTCCTTCTGAATGTGGAGTATATGATGGAGCTCATGGACCCGGCTCTGCAGCTAGGAGAAGGTAAGAGTACAGTGTTTCTCATGGGATATTCACTTTGGAAATCATCATTTGTCTCACTTTAGTGCTTGTGAAAGTGGGGCAGCAGGGCTCTGGCTAGATTTTGTGGACAAAATGCTTTGGCCAATCTTTTCAAATATGAAGATCTAAAATTATTACCAAACATTTTTAACTCCTTTTAGCAGTGCAGTGCCTTATGACACAAGCTAGAAAGGCAAGGATTCATGATAAATGATAACTGAGTGCTGGATTAGCAACCTAAACAGAGACATCTTGTGGTCCTTAGCCCAACGGATGAAAAGCTGGAAGATTTTTGCTAAAATTAAACAGCTGCTGCAAACTATTGTGTAGATACTTTTATTTATTCCAGCGAGAAAAGAACACATTTCCTAAACTGCATTGTATGCCTGAGGGCTACATTCTTATGGTCACTCTACTCCTAAATTTGAGCAAACCCTCTGACAATGTTCTGTGACTGAGCATCATAGCAAGATAAAATAGGTTAGAGAGGAATATTGAGTTTGGAAGTGACTGAAGACCTTTCTTATCAGAAAGATAACTACCCTAGGGAACTGTGGGCCTCTAGTTTCTTAAATATAGCTTGGAAAGCACATGCTTCCCAAGTGACAATTGCACACTCTGAATTAGGAACACAGATAATTTATCACCAAGTAGTCACTAAACCAATCAAATGAGGTTTATTTTAAACTTTGCTAAGTACTGAGGTTCTAGAAAGGAGTCCTGGATGAACAACAGCAAACTAATTTTATTTATATTAAATGAGGATATAAGTCTGAAACTAAGCATGTCATCCCAGCACAGTGCAGAGTGGGACAAAAGTAAGTACTAATAGGATGATTTGTAGCAATACAGTACATCGGTAAGGTGTTTCTGCACAGGCTAGTTTTTCTGCTGAAAAGAATTCTTAGCAGAAAAAAAAAAATAAGTTGAAGCAGAGCATTTTGTGGACATAACCAAGCTGCTTTTGGTGACTACGCTGCACACAGGTTCTTCATTCCAAAGTGGCACACTACCAGGCTGAAGTCATATGGGTTGGGGAGCTCAAGATATCGAAAGCAAAGCTGGCTGGGGAAGTTCTCTTAGCTCAAAGATGCAAAGACTCTGTGAAATGTGCACTCCAGTCAAAAGGGAAAATTTTGTGAGGGAGTTCCAGATCAAACTGACTGGAAAACCACATTAGAAAGGACACTGGGAGTAACTGCAGATATGAGAAATGGGGGGTGGGGGGGATGGGGGAAGAACATGTCAGTGAAGACAGCTCCAAGATTGCAAAGTGTAGAACTGCCAAAAGTTAACTTGTGCTAGGCCTTTCAAAGTTGAATTTCAAAGCAAAAGGCGTTCAGGTACAGAAATTAAAGGGAAAGAAGTAAAGCAGAAGTGAGAAAACTGTGAAATTGCATAGGTCAGTATACAAAATCACTTCAATTTTGCCTCCAAATGAAAAATATACTTTGAATTCATTTAATACCAATGGTGATGCTGACTGCTGGGACAAGGACAAAGACAGATTATAGGGAGCAACTGGATGGAAATAAAGAAATTTGAAGTGGGAAAAAACTTCATTCTTAAAAAAGCTGTGGTGAATTCCGGTTGTGGGGGACTCAGAACTCTGTCTCCCTGGGCTCTGAGGGAGGGGATACACCCTGTCCCAGGTCCCATCACAGCTACTTCTGACTCAGCCAGCAGAGGAGAAATACTGAATGACAGACAAAGGAGGGAGTAACTGTATTTAAGAGGAGAAAAGTGTCACTTTTAGGCTTCTTATTCAATTCTCCAAACCTCTTTGTGGGAGACAGTAAAGAAAAAAGAGTGTTTTGGGCACAGACCTTCGAAACTGTAGGACACTCCTCATCGATCCACCAGAGTACAGGAAGTCAAATGGTAGTGTCTTGGTCTCTCCTCTCCTACACCAAACTTTCATGGTGCTCTAAAAATACTGCTCTTAAATCAAGTGCTTTGCCTCCCTGAAGCAGCCAGCCACTCCGACCATGGGCTCAGCAGTGCCTGAGGAGCCGGCGGGAGCCGCGGGCTGCCGGAGGGATGGGCGATGTGCTGCTGCCATCTAGAGGCACTGCAATCGCCGTGGAACTCCGTCACAACAGGTGTTAGCTGTTCCCGCTTGCCAGGCTCAGGGACGCCGGGCCCGGAGCAGGGCACGTCCCCGTTTGCCAGGCTCAGGGACGCCGGGCCCGGAGCAGGGCACGTCCCCGTTTGCCAGGCTCAGGGACGCCGGGCCCGGAGCAGGGCACGTCCCCGTTTGCCAGGCTCAGGGACGCCGGGCCCGGAGCAGGGCACGTCCCCGTTTGCCAGGCTCAGGGACGCCGGGCCCGGAGCAGGGCACGTCCCCGCCGCCGCTGCTGTGCAGCTCCGCGGGCTGGGTCTGCCCGGGCCCGAGCCTCCCGCTTCCCAGCTGAGGGCAAGCTGGGAATCCAGCACTTCATGGGCCCTGGCCCGGGGCTGCCCTGCAACCCGAGCAGCATCTCTGGCCTTGTCAGCGCTTTCCTGCGCCTCTCTGGCTGAAGCCGGTTTTCGTCATGGCCCAGCTGCCACCCTGTGGCTGCAGTTGGTTATTTATTTATTTCCTGCTGCAAGCAGCGCCACAGCAGCCGGGAGATTCTGAGGAAAAGGGCTTTTTCCACTTTACCCTGTTTCTCTGCGTTACCAAGATTTATCCCGCAGCCCTGAACAGTGAACGCCTGGGCTGCCTGTGTAGTCAATAGAGGAATGGAGGTAACAGAGGATGACTTCTTCCTGCAGGTCTGAGACATCCCTCAACAGTGTTGAGCCCACAGGAGTTCTGATATCTGAACATTCCAGTAGTGTAGCTGGAGCTGGGGGGCTGGATCCAGGCTTTGTGCTTCTCCTGCAGTAATCTATGATTATTTCTATTTCCCTGCGTTGCAGGGACTGCTCAGGAGCCCAAGTTACAGACCTGTTGCATGGGCCCTGTCAAACACAACAAAAAGATGGCCATGGCCCAAAGAATAAACATCTGTGGCTTGGGCTTGTTTGTGAAAGAAGTTTTTGTAGTTCTTTCCTTTCAGCCTGTGTTCTCTCCCAGGACATCTACAGCCTCAGCAGCCTGGGCAGCAACACTGATGAGCAGCAGGAGGAGCTGGAGGACATTGGTCATTAGGTGTCCTTTGCCTGGTTAACACCAGTGACCCCCGCACTCTCTCCAGCAAGGCACAGGCAGTGCAAGGGTCAGACAGCTGCCCATGTGGGCATTGGCAGGCAGGGCGGGAGCAGGACTGAGTGGCCCATGAAGGTATGATGTTCATACAAGACTTTCACCTTTTGCAGGCTCCTATTATTTAACAACCACCTACGGGGTCCTGGAGCATATCAAGAACTATGACAAAATCACTGTGACACGGCAGCTGAGCGTGGAGGTTCAGGACTCCATCCACCGCTGGGAACGACGGAGAACGCTGAACAAGGCCCGGGCTTCCCGCTCATCAGTGCAGGTAGCTGGCACTATATCCTAGGGGAAAAGCCTGCATGCTTTCTCCATACTTAAAAACTTTCATATGGCGATTATTTTAAAATGAAATTAATTGAAATCACTCTTAGAAGAGTACATCTAGGGTAATGTTTCCAAATCTTAAAAAACTATACTACATTTGAAATACATACTACTTATGAAATACATTTTATAGTACTGGAGTTTTAAATATGACTGCAAAGTGATTTTTTTTTGTCCATTCTCAAAGGAGGTGTGCTAGGAGCCTTTCCTTGTAGGAGCTGTGGTGTGGACTCAGAAACCTCTTAATCATTGCCCTTAATGCCTGGGGAAATCATGGGCTAAACTGAGATGTGAGCAAGCTATGCAGGGCTGCTTCTAGATGGCGTAAAGCTGTAGGAGGGTCTGAGACATCCCAAGAGTCAGTCAGTCAAGCATCCTCCAGAGCCTGTCTGGCAGCAGAAAAGACCAATCAAGGTCTGGTTAGTTTTGAGACATCCCCATGCACCAGTGAGAGAGGGTCCCAAGACAGATGGATGTTCTGGGCCTCTAGCCGTGGTGAGGCTGGTCCAGGCAGGCAGGATACCTTGCAAGCCCCATGTGCTGTGATCAAATTGTCACCCACAGGGAGGCAGCAAAGGCCGTGTCTCAGGTTCTGTAGAGCTTTCACAGTGCAGAACTGAAAATTGTGCATGCCGAGGGGAAAGCCAGGAGAAAGTTTCCGATGGGGGAGAGTAGTCCATGCAAAAGCATGGACTTGAACAGGTTTCCCATATTGCAGTCAAACCAGTCCCTGATGATCTCAGAAACTGTGAATGGTGGATGAGATACAGCAAATATCCAGCCCTGAGTGCTGGTCTGGCAGTAGCTCATAGAAAGTACTTAGCATGGAGCATAATAGCTGAGAAAGCATTTGACACATTTTCATGCAAGATTCCCACCAGCAGCTGAAGGGTCGTTTTCCACCCTGTGAATGAGGAGTAGCATCAGAGACATGAAAGCCCATTCTGGCAGTGCTAAACAGCTTGCTGATATGTTCAGCAGGCCTCTGCCAATCCTTCTGCCTGCCTTAATCAACTGCAGTGATACTCAAGTGTAGTTTGGAAGCCCATAGTCCACGAATTTGCAAATTCCCCTTCTGCCAGGGAACCTCATTATTTTCTGAACAAAATGGTTGGGATTTGTTTTGAAGTTCACAGATGCAAATTAAACACAGAGGTTCCACTGTGACCAAAAGCTCTATAAATTCTGTTCCTTTTGTGTTTGGAAAGATTAAAGTTGTCACAACAGTTATTACTGCCTGAAACAGAATACAAGTAAATCAGCCTTCTCATCATAACTTTTGCTATTTCCCTACTGATGGAAGAAAGTTCAGAGGACACACTCTCAAAGTGCTGTTTGGATGACTGTGAAGTTGCTAGGTCACCACACTGCTAACCCTATCCCATTTCTGAGAAACAGGGGGTTTTCAGGCCAGATCTCTGACATTTGTGGTCTATTATTCTTGTCTATCACTTCTTTGCAAACATTTTCTTCAGGAACTGTAAAAAGATGGGAGAGTGAGCCATTGCAGATTGTTCTCTAAGGATATTCACTAAAATAATAAAAAAGCACTCTAATTTCAGTGTCTTTATCGTGCTAATTGTTTGGTAAAGTGCTTGTTTAAGTATTTTCTGATTCAGAGCCTGTCAGAGAGAAGGAAAGACAGAATAACTAGGACATTGGAGAATGACTGGAGGATATTTGGGAGCTCTAGGGAGCTAGAGTTTGTGACTGAATTCTTCCTTCTTTAGTCCTAGGTTACTGTGTTAACTGCAAGGTTTCTCCTCGTGTTTCTCTTCAGGATTTCATCTGTATCTCCTTTCTGGAAATCAGTGGTCAATCAAGGACACTTGCTTCCCGTCACGACACCACAGCTGAGCAGCTGAGCCAGCAGTGTGCCGAGAAGTTTGAAGTGTCCCATCCCAAGGACTATGGACTCTTTGTTTGTGTTGATGACCAGTGGCTGCAGCTGGACAAAGACGCTCTTCCTCACCACATCAAAGCCTCCCTGCTGAAGAGTGAAACCAAGAAAGATTTCCATTTTATTTATAAACCAGTAGACCATAAAACCCCACCAGTTCCAATTGTCAAAGAGTCAGATTTTTCCTAAGGGCCATGCTGCTTTTTTTCTGTCTTTGCTGTCATCCTGGAAGAGCTGGATAATTTACCTTGTGAGATCCTCTGGTATCTGCTCACCTCAGAAGTTCTCTAGTGTGGCCTTCAACATAGGGCAGATGGGCTAATTGTAGATGGTGTCTGAACAACGTCAGTAGAGGTCATTTTCAGAAGTAAAAGGAGCATTCAGGAGAGCATTCATCCTCTGGAAAACTTGAAGTATCAGTCCTCAGAACCTCCCAGCCACAGCTAGCCAACACTGCAGAACGAAAATGAACAGTGGCAAAAATCCAGAGATCTTACAAAAAGGTGGACATTTACTTTATAACAAATGATGGCAGGTGTGAATTACGTCTGTGCAGGAGGCCTTTGAAAGGCCTGCACACACCTCAGTCTGTTTGGAGGTAAGACTGTGTTTGTGCCTTACAGATCTGTTCACCCAGTCTGAGTAAACTGGGTCTTGTCTGATATATTCAGTGGCATAGGGTTGCCACCTCTAGCAGAACTCCATCTCTGTCTTGCTGTCAACATGTCTTTGCCTTTGAGATCCACATAATTACAAACAGTGCAAAATGACCCTGTACTTTCACTAAAAATATGGGGTTTGCCTTCTATCTGTTACTCAAATCAGGTAGCATAGGCATTTTCATCAATGTATTTTTCCTAAAGATTGAACATCTTCACTATCAGTTTTAATGTACAGCAGTTTTATTCACGTTGGTTGTTTGATAGTGTCTGGTTAATTGTATATTTATTTCAATGTGTGATATGGTGCAATTATTTTAAAATAAGCCTTTGTAAAGAACTTAATAATTTGCCCAGAGTATCAAACCAGATTAAAATTTGAAAGTCAAAAGGAGTTAGAATTAAATACCAATCCCTTTTTACATGGCTGTCATTTTCACAAGTGTTATCCTAGCTGTAATTCCCACCAGATCATTACTTTAATAAATTTAGGCTGTTGCAGACAGAACTTTCTAATTCTCCTTTCTATGTGTTCTTTTAGTCATTCAATCATTGCGGACTTAAATTTCCCTGAACAAACAAATTCCCAGAGAATATATTGAATCAATGCAAAAATGCATTTCATTCAATTTGAAAACAATTTTTCAGGACTGGATAATGGAAGCAGGAGCCTTAATTACAAGATTGGTCCCTGTCTTCTGAGTGCCTTCATGCAGGCAAAATTCCCACTGTGAACACAAAATACTGGGTTGTCTGCATGAAGGAGGCCAGTAACCTCCACTGCAGCTCCACCAACTTGGAATCAGGCCTACATTTATTATAAAGCTCTGATTACAAAAAGGTGTTTTTCTCTGGGTTTTGCTCAAACTTGCTATTGTGTCCTCCCAATAACATTCAAAAGACATTTAGGGCACCTTGGGCCAAGTTGCCCAAGGTCTCTGCCTTATTCCTGAAGCTCCAAGGATGAAAGGGTATTATGTGTTTCTGGTCCCTCTCTCAGTCTCTGGGGTTTGAAATAAATGTCCATGTCTATGTGCCCCAGCTGTAGCCAAATCTGCATACAGCTTGCAAACCAGCTGCGCATCTGCCAGCATGGGCTGTGTGCACATCTTGCTGGGAAGGGACAACAACCAAGAATGAGGAACAGTGAGTAACAGCACTCTTGGTTTTGAGGATATCATGTGCAGAGCTTGCTGTGCATGACCAAATTCATGGTTATTTCTGCTATGTGCAGGTGTTGGAACCTCTCCCTTCCTCTAGGCAGCACATCTGCAGGATGCCAGAGCTGAAGCCTTCCCTCATGCTGGCATAACCCTCCTGCAGGGCTGTGTGCTCATGCTGGGAGCCTGGGCTGCTCTCAGGGTGGCCCTTGGGATGCCGAGGCTAAACCCAAGACACAAATTTCCAGTACCAAACTGGGAGGTGATGCTGTTCTCAGGGCCCTGAGTGCACTCATAGGTGTGGCTGTCTCCAGCGCCTCCACAGTGCCTCCCCAGTACCTCCCCACCCTGCCCAATGGTCCAGGACACCACTTCAGCCTCCCAGGGCTGTCAGCCCCTACCCCAGTGATGCTACAACAGGAGTGGTCTCTAGTTCCCCAGCCCTCAGCCTGTCCCCATTCTCAGGGAGGTGCTGGATGTCCAGGACTGCGGTTTCTCCTGATGCTCCCCTGATCCTTGGCCTGATCAGGTTATCATTATAGTACAACGTTCACGGTCAATGAGCCTAAAAGTATTTGGATGGGTAAGAGGTTAAAGTAGAAACATGGAAGGAAAGAAGCTGCGACTGATCTGCTGGATATTTCTGCAGAGCAGCCAGACTTTGTACCAGCCAGGGTCAAGCAACTGATTGATGAAGTGAAGCGCTCCAACACCTAACAGTGTCCTGGAACATCTGAGTCACCTGCTGGACCTTGGGGCTAGGGAGAAGTATGGGATATAGAGCTGGTCAGTGGAGCCTGTGGAAACAGTGCTAAATCACTGCAATCCAAATGGGCTCAGACCTAAATTGACCTAATGCCTAGACCCAAAATCAGGCCCGCAGCTTCCAGTTTTTGAAATGCAAGGAGTGCCTTGAACCTTTGAATTTGTGTGGGCTTTTCTCAAATTGGATATGCAACATTTTCTTCTGGCATAACAACTGCAAAGCTCTGATTTGATTTTCAAGAGCTGCTATGGCTCTCCCAAACCCAGAAATTATTGACAGTAATGCAAATTACTGTGACTGGCTGCAAGCTGCCTGGAAGTAAATCCTTGTGCTAGGGCTCAGTGCAGAGTGGATCGTGCTTAGAAGCTGTGAGGCAACTGGCTTGTTTGGTCCCATCATATAAACCACCAGCAACATTTCATTAAACGTACATCTCTGAGGTACGGGGGTGACATGGCCACAGCTGTCCCTTGTCAGGGAACACAAGCTGGGAGATGACCCGTATGATGATATTTTGGATGACCCAGGACAGAGAAGGATGCTGCCTCTCCAAGCTCACAGCTCAGTGGTGGCACTCAGGCTCTGCCTGCAAAAACAGCCTGCCTGGAACAAACATGCCGTGGTTTTGGTAACCCTGGCAAAGCGCTGATTCTCCAGCATGGAGATTGCTGCAACAGTTCAGCACATCCCTTCCTCTGGATCCTGCACTGCTTTGGGCAGGTATCTTGACATTTCGGATGGTGTGAGAAAAAGTTAGGAGTGGGAATGAAATGGGCATTTTTAAATGTTCCATGGGATTTTGTTCATTGGCTTTTCTGTGGTGTTTTCTCATGCTGCAGCCCAGGCAAAGAGGAAACAGCCCAGCCTGGTGATCTGTGGCCTCCTCTGGTTAGTCAAAACAGTCACACTGTGACTCACATGCCAGCCCTCATGTGAGCCCTCAGCAGACAGGAGTGTTTCAGGAGGTTTTGACCAAGTAGGCTTGTGCAATCCAGCCAAGGCCCCTTCAAACACTCATTTGCAGAGAAACGTTGTGCAATGATTACTCATTGACTCACAAGGAAAGGATCCCATTGTGAAAGAGAGGAACAGGGAGACCTGCTGAATCCAGAAACTTCTGTAGAGAAACAACCAGCCTGTGTGACCACTGTATGCACAGAGCTGATTTAATGCCAGTTTGCACCCAGTGACACAATTTGTCAATAATTCACTGAAATAATTACACTGGCAGGTTAAGTTTATCCTAAAATAAAAGCCATTGAGATCAAAGGGAGTTTCCATGCGAATTCAAGAGCTTTTGGGCCTCCTCATGCCCAAAGTCACCAACTGTACTTTGAAACCCGGCACAAGACTGGCTTTTTACTATGGGCTTGTAGAGTGATTGAGGCTGGCAGGAACCCCTGGGGGTCACCAGTCCAATCCCTGTTCAAACAGGACTTCCTCCCAAGGTTGTTCAGAGCCTCACCCTTTCAGTGCTGCAGTCTCCAGGGTCATGCAGCCTTCCTGGGGTCCTAGTCCAGCATTTTAACACCTTGCACTGTGAAAAACGTTTTCCTCCTATCCAGCTGCTGTGCAGGCCCTGCTTGTCCCACCAGCATCCCTCCTTGGATGGGTGCTGCTGGTGTGGGATACTGGCCAGCTCTGCCTGTGGTGCAAGGCTTACAGAATTATAGGACTTTCGTTGTCTTCCACATCTTTTGGGGTATCACGGCCCTAGAAAGGAAACAGCTTCTGATTCAGAATTGCTCAAGCTCTTGGCACAAAATGCTGCTTTAAGTCAGCACTTTAGCTTAAGCTTCCTTTTCCTCTACTGCCCCTCCACCCCTGTTCTCAAAGGCAGAGGCTGAACACAAGAATAAGAGACCTTCAGCCTCCTGCCCTGAGATGGCCACAGATGCTCAGCATTTACCTTAAACTGTCCTGGTGAGACAAGATGCAACTTGGTTTGAAGAGAGCTAAAACAATACTGCTTACTGGTGTATTTAAAAAAGTGCATTATCGCCAACTCAGGTGAACTGCTTTCTGCTTCATTGCTGGTAAGGAAGGGAGAGTGGTTACAGTGCTCTGAACAAAGCTGTGTCCATCCAAGTTTGCATGATACAGAAGTAGCCAGCACACAGTGTACCCTGGAGGCTGATCATGGACCTGCTCTCCAGGTCCTCTCCAAGGAAAGGCAGTGAACTCCTGTGCAGCAGGATGTTGTGTAGAAACACACAGCAGATTTGGCACACGGGTCAGAAAAGGGCGTTGGACTCCATTCCTAGCAACAAGGAGGAGGAAGACAGGAAACCTTGGCTGCAGTGAATGACACTTTTCCTCGGGGCTACAGATATACACAACTCTTCTCTTTGTAATAACACAGCCTCAACTTTGCCATTTTGCCTGGTGAATTTGCTAGAGACCTGACAGTTTTCCATATTTTGCATTCCACCATCCCAACATTCTAGGAATGATAGGCTGAGCTACTGCATGCCTACAGGAAGAGCGAGAGTGTCTGTACTTGCTCAATTCACCACAGGATATTCTGGTGTAAGACTGACCTTGCACAATCCTAAAATTGTTTTCTCATTAGATTCTATCACCATCACAAAATAAACAGCCTGCCACAGAGGTACTAAGTCTGTGTGATGATATTTGGAGGCCTTAAAACAAATGTATTGATCAATGCAGGTGAAGGTTATTGGTTTTTTCTTCAGTGGGGCTGTTCCTTGAGCGGCTGAAAAGGAAATGGGTCTCTGGATATGAACTGAAAATTCAGAGCATGGATGAGAACCTGCTCCATCTCAGACAGCATTGTGGGTGCAGTGACATCCTCAGTGTCTTGCAGCTTGCCACATACCTGAGGGAAGGGGTAACAATGCTATTTAGGATGGTGAAGCTATGGAAATCACTTGCAAGAGGAAAACAGAACAAAATCCCACTCTTCACGTTTCAGCTTTGCATCTGAAGAGCTACAAGGGTCTGCAGGAGGGTAAGGGCACATGATAACAAGTGCCACCTGTGTGTCAATGATGTGTGAAAATAAAAATGTGCTAGTAGCTGATTTCTCATCTGATAATTACTTTTTGAGGTCTATTTATTATGGCTGGAGACTCTTGGTCATAAAGCGATGCCATCTATGAAGAACACGGAGACCACTTTTTCAACCTCTGCATCCTAGATGTGAAAATCCAAAAGAACAAAAGCCTCTTCTGAACACTTCAGCAGATAAATGGACATATATAAAAGGTGAAAAAAAATGTTAAACCTATGACTTGATGCTAAGTGCTTGAAAAGGAGCCTGGATTTCTAGGGCAGAGAACAACTCTAAAAACAGAGGTGAATGAAACAGCAGACTGAATATATATATTCAAAGAGGACTTTGAAAGAATAATTTCTCCTGTTTTTTACAACTGTTTGGGAGCTCTTGGTATGCTCTTTCATGACAGCAGCCAAAATGACTAAGGGCTGTCTGTGGAGCCAGCCCTTCCTCCTGCCATCAGGGAAACAACAGCAACACATTCAGGCAGTCATGAGTTTCATACTCTTATTTTTAGATTCCTGATAAAAAAAACTCAGCTTTACAGCTGAGAAGGAACA